GCCGGAGCCCGCTGGGCACTCCTGGTCCCCCCAGCTCTCCAGCCACCCGTTGGAGCCGCCCGGCAGGGCAGGGGGAGGTGGGCCTGCCATTCATCCCGCACCCTCACGCGGAATTCGCGCCTCTCCAAGTCCGATGGGAAAATGGCAGAGAATAATTAGGAAAATCATTAGCGTCTCAAGGCCCATCTGAGAGGGATTAAAGGATTAAAAGCCTTCCAACGAATCTCTCCCACTTTAAGGTTGTTGTTGGGGTTTTATTTCCAGGGTATTTTTTTTTCCCCTTTTCTTTTTCCCTGGGTTAGGGGAGAATGAAGTCTTGGTGGATCCTCCCTCAAAAGCCACAGGAAAAGTCAAGACATTGGCGTGGGCAGAAAAGGATGGGGGACAGCAGGTGTGTGGGGAGGATCTGCCCCAGCTCCCTTTTGGGGTGCAGAAGCCTAGATGGTCCTGGGGGGAGTGGACATCTCCTTGAGGGGACCCCAAGGCCTCAGCCTTGCCTGGCAGGCTGCACCCATCTCCTAATCCTAGCTGAGGGATAGAGGCTCCCCTGCCCTCCGACCGAGGCAAGCCTGGCCACAGGGAGCCTGGTCACCCGTCACCTGGGCCTGGGGGTCAGGGAGGAGAGAGCAGAGGAGCGACATGGAAGGGTGGGAAGGGAGGGATGGGGCAGGGATCACGGGGACCGGCAGGAAAGGACCAAACAACAAAAGCGATTTGAGCTTCCGCGGCCTGCAGGCCCAGAGCAGTGCACAGCCCAGCCAGCAGGGTGAGCAGATGCAGGCACGGGTCACACTGAGGCGGGTGGCACAGCACGGGGGTGGGGGACGCAGAGGGGAGCAGCGATGGTGCCCTGGGTGAGACAGCTCTGGCCAGCTGAGGAATCTCCCTGCCTGGCACACGGGTAACATCTGTCGCCAAGCCCATCACAGTCTGTGCCTCCTGAAGGGGTGCCCTGGCCCTCAGGTGGAAACCACCAGCGAAAGCCGCAGGACAGTGGGGACTCTAGTGGGCATGGGAGCTGGAGTCGCTGGAGGCGGGGCGGGACAGAGGTACCCATCCTAGTGATCCTGGCACCAGGGACGCTTTCTCCTCTCACACAAGCTGGTGGGTGAAAGGGAGCCGTCCCTCCCCAAGGAGGGGCATGAGTCACCCCAGCCCAGCACCTTGCCAGTGCCACCGACGGTAGATCCTGGTGGTTCCTGCCTGGCACAGCATTAATAATCGTGTTTATTAATGGTCTTAATTAGCAACTGCCAAGGAGGAGCCTGGTGCTAATCCCGGCAATAATCGAGGCTTGTGGCGTGTGGGTGGGAAGGGTGCAGTGGGTGAGTAGGGACGGCCTGGGTGGCTGCAGAGGGGGACACCCCCCCCGCAGGATCCCACACCGGGGCTCCTCGACCCCCCACAGTGCTGCGTCTCCCTGGCAGGCAGCGTTGGGACAAAATGAAGCGTGAAGAATGGGGGTGTGGGGGGCCGTCTGCGCCTTTAGAGCCAGACCCCAGACGACGGCCCACGGGATGGAGGCAAGTCTGCAAAAGGCTGAGTGAATGAGCTAGAAGGGGGCTGAGAACAAGCCCCACAGTGTCCTGGAGCCACATTCCTCGCTCTGGGGAGACGGAGACGGATGGTGCAGAGCAAGGAAGGAGGGGTCGGGGGGACAGCGCGGGCTCCTCTGCCAGGAGCAGGGTGGGAAAATCAAGCTGCAGTGCTAGAGGATGCTGGAAACAAAGCCCACTTCCTCTCGGCCTCGGCCAAGTGGGGCCTGCTCGTGCTGCCTGGGGACCCAAAGAGCAGCCCGCAGAGGCCAGGGTGCCACAGAAACGCAGGCCAAGGGAAGGGAAGGGCCACCCTCGGCGCAGAGCTCTGGTTCACCCAGCAAGCTGACACCTGCAAACGTCTGGCAGAGGGAGACAAGGCCCAGGCAGAACCAGGCCCAGCTTTGGGATCCCTGGAGGGGCCCATGCTGGGCCAGAGACCCGGCCAGCAGAGGGGCTGGGCAAGCAGCTGCAGAAGGCCCAGGAGGGCAGAAGTGGCTCTCAGCCCTGGTCTCCTGTCCCAGCTCCCTCTGATCTAAGTCTCCCAGGTCCACTCCCAGAGGCCTCTGCCCAGAGGCTGGGAGGGAAGGAGAGAAGGGAGAAGACCTCTGTGCCGTGTGGAGCGATGTGCCAAAGCCCTGGCTTCAAGGCCGGCACAGGCAGGGCACCCGAACCTGCCTGCTCCTGCATAACTGCGCCTTTGTCTTCTCCACTGAGTGCGCTCCTTGGTGCCACAGAAGTCCTGGACATCATGGCCAATTCTCTTTTTGGTGCCACCCAGACTGATTTTGCCCTGCACGCTGCTTCCAGAGCCCCAGAATCTCTCCAAAAGGCCCCAAGTGGCAGGCACCCTGTTTTTTGGGGGGCTGGGGATGAGACCCAGGGCCTTCCGCAAGCTGTGAAAGCTCTACTCCCCACTCCAGCCTCTCTGCTCTGAGCCTTGGTGGCCTGGGCTCAAGGAGGGGCGCAGGCCACCTCTGGGAGCAGCCCCAGAGCTCAGGAGCAGGGCCAAGGACAGGCTCTTTCACTGCAGGAGAGGGCTTCACAGGGTAAGCCCCCCTGTACCCTCAGAGAATTGGCTACTTCTCTCGGTGCTGCTGAGGCTGGCCTCTCTCCCAGGCTAAAAGGGGGGCTCCTTAGGGGACACCTGGGGTAAAGGCCTGGGCTCCCGCCCACTCACTTGCTCTGCTTGGGCACCAGAAGTAGTATTTCCGGGGGCTCTGGCGATGTGGGAGCCCCCAGCTCGAGGCCCCGGGAGTGGACCGACCGGTGAGGCCAGCCGGTGTGGGGCCAGGTAGGTGCCC